CCATATGCTCGTACTTCGGGAACGCTGTTGATGTCATCATTCTGCTTCGTAGTATAGGTTAGATAGGATCTGCCACCTGTAGTCTGGGCGCCGAGCGCCAATAGGATATCAACTCTGGTTCGTAGTTGATGATGATGGGACTACTTCAGCATTGTCAATTTTGAACTCTTGGTGTGTTCTTATTTGGTGTATCTCGTGATGCCAGTCTGCTGTGGTTCGAGGTCAAGACTATCTGGGCTCATATGTATGATGCTGTTTGATTGCTGAAGTTCGCTAATGCTCATCTTCCTTACAATTTTATTTTATTCTGTCTGGTATTTGACACTGACCAATGTAACCATCGTTTGTTGTGGAGCCAGGTTTCATTTGCGTGAAAAACCTACGTCCTGGCACGCTCCTGCAGCAACGGACATGGGATGCAAAAGATCAAACGAGCTCTAACACACCGTTTCACAGGGGATTCGACAGAACAAACCTCAGAGACCCTACTTTGTCAGGATTATGCCAGAATTCAATCATTTTCAGCAATCGTCACGCATTGGGAGTTGATCGGAAGCATATCACACTCAACTGAGTTCACAGAGAACTAAAGTTCATTGTGCGCCACGATATGCTTGTACACACTCGAGCAGCCAGCTGCCCTGGTCACCATGCATCAAAGAGACGGAAGACCTCACTGCAGTAAATTGTGTGATCTCACAGCTATGGCTGCAGCCAACTCTCGTCCTCCTCCACGATAAAAAATTAAAAAAAAAACCTGCTCGCGGTTCTTCCTCTGCCCAACCAGCCCGACACTCAAGAAAAAGGCGCGCACCCATATTTCAACTATTTTGTCAAGCTACATTCCTGTCAGGCCTAAACAGACATACTGTCTAATAAATCTCAATTTACTACCGTCTTCACCCGAATAGAACGCCCGGTTGTTATCGCTGCATCTGGACCGAAAGTTGTGCCAAATACAGCTATAATGACCGGGCGTTCTATTCCGGTGAAGACGGTAGTCTGAAAGCTTGACAACATGTGGATATGCTCAACAAACACGAACGCTATTCACGGGGGCAGAGTTTTGATCTCACAGCAAGCAAAACAGCAAAAAATTGAAATATAGGCATCGCATGCACTTCCTCATTCACAAGCAGCAACAGACTTGCCCATAAATTGGCATTGTACCATTGTAAAAAGCACTGATAGCAAGGTAATGCAATGACCAATAATGCTTGCACCACATCATACCGAACAGCAATGGACAGCAAATATTCTGAGCAAATCACCACAAATTCCAAAAAGCAAAACAGGGTGATGATGATGATGAAGATGACAATGATTACAATGACGATGACAACAGATGATGATGATCGTGATGAGGAGGATGAGGATGATGAGGATGATGATGATGAGGAGGAGGATGACGAGGACGACTCACCCTGGTATCTAGCATCTGCTCAAATGAGAATGTGTAGTTCGTTAAGCGATTGACCTTCAGATCGGCATACCTGCAAAACAGTTCCACTAATTGATTAGATTATAATACAAAACCACACTGAGCCCGTGTGCTGGCCCTTCAGTCGGTACAGTCAAGAAGTGAAAGAAGTCAAACAAGTGACAACTTCATCCATAAAGAATTAAGCATGATGGATGAGGCAAAATTCCAAAAAGAGCTCCACACTCCCATACAAACTTGAAATGAACCCACCTAATTTCAACAGCATGTTCAATACCACAGGTTGGTTTTAGGGTCAGGTTGATTTCCCCAAGTGACATAGTTTGATTGTGAATCAATGAATCAAATTGAATTAATTACAAACCAGGGCTGCACCGGCCACCGGCCGGTTGGAACAGACCGGACCCAACCGGGCCAGATGGAACCCCAGTGGTCCAACAGGAAATCCGGTTGGGGACCGTTGGGCCCAAAACCAGGTCAATTTTTTATTATTATTATTATTTTTGATGATGGGGTTGGACTGCGCTTGTCGAGATCTACCCGAATCCGCAGAGAAAAGATTGATCTGCAATTTTTTTTTTCATGGGGTTGGGGGGGTTGGGAGGGGGG